ATATAAAATGTCAAGTATCGCCTTACGTGCAATAATCGTTTGAATGTATTGTAAATCTTACTCTTCTTCCAGAACGCGTCGTCTTAAGTTTATTTTCTGATACTATTGAAGTATCATTGTGTGTGTTGCCTGTCCGTTGGGGTATTATAAGCGCAGGAGTCGTGGTGTGCGATTGCACAGAACGGAAATCGACGTGAATAGGATTTCCTCCTAAATACGCTGCTTTTAAGCGATCGAAGCTTATGCTGTAGTTTGTTCTGTTCTTATCAACTATATAGTACTTAGATTGAGTTGAAGAACTTAGAAAGGTCCTTCGTATGCTGATTCGAATGGTCGTCGATGCGAGTCTCGGCAAATGTGTGGAGATAGGCCTGACAAGCCTATTTTGTAAATAGTTTTTAATATTATTTGTATTTATTTTGTCAATCTTTCACTGTCTGTATATTTTATCATTAAATGATTGTACCTGTTGTTTTAGTAAATTACCTTGAACACACTTTCCGTTGTGATACTGACATCGCGTGACGTGCTCTTGCTGGCTAACAAATACACTACTACTCACACATTCCTCGTTCTATCTTCGTTTTGTGACTGAGTTAACGGAAGTCTAAATCAAATACTATCTACGTTTATAGACTGTAATTGGAATATATCACATCCTACGTTGGATTATATCACTGGAGAGTTCGTCAACCAGATTGGAATTACCAAGCATTTATAATTGTGGTTTCTTAGTACCAGACCAAAGCCGAACACGCATCAATTTGGTGAACCTAAGTAAAGTCCCAACTTTCTATTGTATTTGTAATAATTAGCTTATATATATATTAACATTTCTATTGATCTTTATTAACTTTGTTGATACTTTTTGCGTTTATATATCGTTTGGTCCACTACAGTAAACACATTTTCGTTTGTGGTGCGTGTTCAGCTTTGGTCTGGTACTAAGAAACCACAATTATAAATGCTTGGTAATTCCAATCTGGTTGACGAACTCTCCAGTGATATAATCCAACGTAGGATGTGATATATTCCAATTACAGTCTATAAACGTAGATAGTATTTGATTTAGACTTCCGTTAACTCAGTCACAAAACGAAGATAGAACGAGGAATGTGTGAGTAGTAGTGTATTTGTTAGCCAGCAAGAGCACGTCACGCGATGTCAGTATCACAACGGAAAGTGTGTTCAAGGTAATTTACTAAAACAACAGGTACAATCATTTAATGATAAAATATACAGACAGTGAAAGATTGACAAAATAAATACAAATAATATTAAATATTAAATATTAAAATAAGCTTTTCAAGCCTATCTCTACAGTATTATATCGTACGTCAGGTTGAACGAAAACATCAGTTGATTGGGGTCGAGTGGAAGCAGATTTAACTGGACGCATTTCATTTGCAAGCCTGTTTGTGTATGAGGTTATATCCATATTCATTGAAAAGGATGAAGGATCCACGAATTGTCCTGGAAGTCGAAGTGTCGTTCCATAAACGAGTTGGACTGCAGCGAGTGATTCCCAATAGTGCAGCCAGATAACGGTAAAGTTCGGATTCAAACTGTCGTCTACGATCTGTAGTGCTGGTTGAAGGGCAGCCGAAGTTTGCTACCCATCGTTTGACGAAGGCGCGGGCCACTGTTACAGCAGTGGTGTCCTTGATAGGTACTGCTTCTGGCCATCGAGTGAAACGGTCTACGCAGGTTAGGAGATAAGGGTATCCATTTGAATCTAGTAAAGGTCCTACCAAATCCAAATGAACATGGTCGAAACGGGCATCGGGAGTTTTAAATGAGCCTAAGGGTCATTTATTGTGTCTGATAACCTTAGATTTTCGGCAGCTTACACAGGAGCGTGCCCACTCCCTCAAGTCTTTATTCATGCCAGGCCGGCAAAACCGTTCAGCTATAAGCTTGATGGTTGCACGAACGCCTGGATGAGAAAGTTTATGCAATGTATTGAAGACATTGCGTCGATAATGCTTCGGCACGATTGGGCGATCCCTACCTGTAGATCTGTCACAAACTAAGGTTTCCTTACCTGTTCTCATCTGTTTGATACCTAACTTGAGGGTTGTAGACGATAACTCGTGCTGAAGACCAGTGTCTTTATTTTGAAGACGGGTGAGTTTAAGAAGGTCGATTCCTTGGAAACTGTTCAAGGAAGTTATGCGAGATAAGGCGTCTGCAACTACATTGTTTGCTCCAGAAATATGTTGAATATCTGAAGTAAACTGCGAAATGTAGTCCAGTTGTCGAGACTCACGTGGTGAGTACTTGTCTGAAGAGGAGCTTAAGGAGAAAGTAAGAGGTTTATGGTCAGTGAAAAGGGTGAATTCACGGCCTTCGATATAATGTTGAAAATGCCGTGCAGCACAATACATAGCTAGGGGTTCCCTACCGAATGTGCTGTACCGTGATGCGGTGTCTAGCAACCGTCTAGAGAAAAATGCCAATGGTTGCCAGGAGTTATTAACCAATTGTTGTACGAATCGTCTATAGAAACTTACGAGGCCGTTAAACGTGCGTAACTGCTTGATCGTGGTCGGTTCTGGGTAATCCAGAATGGCCGACACTTTGGTCCTAAGGGGTTGAACGCCTTGAGCATCTATAGTGTGTCCTAGGAAGTCTAATGAGTCAGCTCCGATTTGGCATTTCTGAACGTTTACAGTAATGCCATGTTTTTGTAGTCGTTCGAAAACAATATCCAGATGCTTGAGATGTGTTTCTTTGTCCGGACTTGCGATTAGACAGTCGTCAACATACGCGTGTACGAAGTTGAGACCTCGAAAAACGTCGTCTATGAATCTTTGGAATGTTTGAGCAGCGTTTCTTAGACCGAAAGGCCGAAGGAAGTAATGATGGCGGTTTTCGGTATGTCGTCTGTGGTCATGAGAATTTGGTTATATACCTTAACCAAGTCGATTTTCAAAAAGACAGTTGTACCTTTCAAGGTAGCTGTCAAATCGTGAATGTGAGGCAACGGGTAACGATCGGGAATGGTTTTGCATTCAATCGCCGATAGTCGCCAGTTGGATGCCAATCGTTGCTGTCCTTTTTAGGGACCATGTGCAACGGAGATGCACATGGGCTATTTGACGGTCTTATGATAACTAAGTCTATCATGTGGTCGAACTCGTTTTTCGCCAACCTTAGCTTTTCGGGGACTAGTCGGCGTGCTTTAGATAATACAGGTGAGCCTGTAGTCGTGATGTGATGTGTAACGTCTCTGGTTACACACGGCAACTTCGGTTGCGGTTGGTGTATCCCAGGATAAATTAGTGTTTCCGTCTACTAGCCTCCGTTTACGCCTTTCGATGATTAGATTATGGTGTTGTAGAAGATCCATACCAATGATTGGCATAGAAACATCTGCAACAAAGAAGATTCGGTGAATGGGTTTGCGTAAACCCACGTCAAAGTAAACGTACCTTTCGCCATACGTAGCGATAGATTTTCCGTTTGCCGCCTGTAAGTTTAAAGCCGATTCGTGAAGCCGGTCGTTGGGATTCGCTGAGAGAACACTAACGTCTGCGCCAGTGTCGACGAGGTGGCGAACTCTCGTTGTCACATCTGCGACGTACAAAAGACAGCTATGTTCGCCGGCTACGGTTGCCGTTAACGCGTGCCGGCTTGGAAGTTTCCCGAGTTGTTTTTCGAGTCAGTCAGTTTCGTGTTGGGAAAATTGTAGGGTTTTCTGCAATTTCCGGAAGACCTTCCATACTGGTTGTGATACCGGCACCAGTCGGGTTATCCGTCTTTCGTGGTCTAGAGACAGATCGCTTACGTGAAGTGCTTCTACGTGGGGTGTGTGATCGCTTACGGTCGTTATGAAAATTAAGATAACGCGTGAGTGTATGACATAACTCGTTTATGTCATTCTGATTCGTTTGAGGCTTTTCTTTGACTGAAAAAACCTCGGTAGAATATGTCGTAAGTTCTAAGATACGATCGGCAGATAATAATAATTTATATTCTGAAAAATAATAATCACAGAATTCACGCCAGTTTACAGGCATGATCAGTTCGATATAAGTAATAACGTTAGACGTGCAGAACAAACATGTGATAAAAGAAAGTTTAAAGTATACTAGTTCGGTAGTTGTTTAAGTAGTACATACATTACAGCGATCCAAAGCATCAGCCGGGAATTTTCAATATTTCTTAAATGGACAGCCTGTTGATTTATGAACGGTGTAATTAAAGTCAATCCGTGTGCCAGATCGAAATAATGATAATTATCTACAACTAGAGAAATTAAAACGAAAACAGAGAGCACGGAACAACAAAAAAGTAATTACCAAAATATAGCAATCAGGTCTACTTAAATGCGTGTGTCATGTGACAGTGATATACTGTTTGTGTTATTCAAATTAGTTAAAGTTGCTAGGGGCGGTTTTGACATATTGACAGCACGTGGGTGGTTTTGCTAAGGGAATTCACTAATAAAGATGGCTAAACATTTAAGGTTCCTAAAATATCACTTGTGGAATGAGATACACTTGTAGTGACTCACATTTATCACGAGAACACGACTGGTTTAATAAAAACAATTATTATTATAACCAACTGTACCAGTGTTTGTTTTAATGTGCTTTTGTTTAACTGTGCTAATTATAGCCATTTTGTGCTTCCATTACCTTCCATCATTGTTCCGCGGTTTTTGGTACTGTTCGCACGTACTCCTGTCTTCTGCTTCCACTTGTACCACTTCTTGGCACGATCTCGGTATTCGTTCAATACCACGAGATCGCCAACGAAATAAATCTGGTTACATTCAACCTCGCCTTCTGATTTATCTGGCACGTGTTTTCTGGTAGCGGTGTTCACAGTTAATCTCAACTCGACGCCACGCTACATTGGTGATCCCAAAGTTTGGAACACGCCTCAACCTCGGGTCAAATCTTCCAAAGAAGTCAATTTGGTGAGTCTATTATTTATCTATCCACGTCTGTCGTATATTTTCATATTAATTTTTAATATATAATATACACGACATGACGGATAACGATAAGAATACTATTAATGTTATAGACTCAGACCTACAAGCCATTCATTTTCGACCTGTATCATTTATCCCCCACGACCCTGAGGTCTGGTTTGCTGCTTTAGAGTCTCAGTTCGAGACTCGTCGCATCACGAGCCAAAGGCAAAAATACGCCTACGCTCTCGAGTCATTACCCGGGGACCATTTAGTAGCTGTTCGTGAGGTTGTCCTCAATTCTAACGTGCCTAATGTTTATGACCGCCTCAAGGAGGCAATTCTCCGACATTTCCTCCCATCGAGGGAGGAACGATTGAGGACCCTGTTAGCACGTCACCCCCTGGGTGACGCTAAACCAAGCCATCACCTCACGCGCCTGCAATCTCTTGCAGGACCAACAGCATCAGACTCGGAGATAGTCAAGGAATTATGGCTCGAGTCACTACCAGCCCATATCCAACCTACTGTGACGGCACTGCTCGAGGACTCACCGCTTAACCAGGTAGCTCTCATAGCAGACAAAATTTTGGCGAGGACTAGTAATAGAGACACCTATGTAGTCGCTTCGACGGCACGTCCTAATGTAGACATGGACGCCGGTCATTCCACAGCTCATGGTGACAGGGCCGGGTGTATTCACACACGTCTTAGTTTTCGAGATCGCTGTAACGTACCCCAACCCTACGTCCCCCGAGCTCGCTCAAGTTCTCGCAAACCCGTCACCACTCGCCCAAAAAGGGCATCTTCCAGGCCACGCCGAAAGGCGGCTACGGAAGCGAGTGACAGTTGGTGCTGGTTCCATAGGTCCTTCGGGTCTGGCGCCCGCCGTTGTCGAGCACCATGCTCATACAAGGCGGGAAACGCCAGCGCCGGCGAGTAAAAGCGGCCGTACTCGCCGGCCCTTTACCCCAGGTTGGTCGCCTATTCTACGTGCACGATTACCGCACGAACGCTAGGTTCCTAGTAGACACTGGGGCCCAAGTTTCTGTCGTACCACGAGGTAGCAGCAAGTCACAAGCCACAGTGCTTCGACTACGCGCTGCGAATGGCTCAGTCATTCCTACCTACGGTACACGACAACTCGCGGTCAACCTGGGCAACCGACGACGGTATCTGTGGACGTTCATCATTGCTGATGTTCCCACAGCCATACTAGGTATCGATTTTCTACAGCACTATGAATTGCTTGTCGATTCACGTAGGCTGCAGCTAATCGATACTTCGTCGAACAGCAAATTCATGGGCTGTAAAGCCCACATGAACGCGTACCGAATCCTGGGCACTTTTTATTCGCGTGACGATAAATTCCACGCTTTATTCGAGAAATTCCCCGTAATCACTAAACCACTCGAGGAGCTTCCATCGGTGACCAATCGTGTGGTACACCACATAGTCACCCGCGGACCGCCAGTCACGGCACGACCTCGCCGACTGGCACCGGACAAATTAGCTTTTGCTAAGCGTGAGTTTGACAATTTACTAGCTACTGGTATTATTCGTCCTTCTCACAGTCCATGGGCCTCTCCTCTACACATGGTGCGCAAAAAAGATGGGGTTAGTTGGAGACCATGCGGCGACTACCGAGCTCTAAACGTAGTTACGCGCTTTGATAGCTACCCCATCCCCCACATACACGACATCACGGCATCGCTCAAGGGCACGACTATCTTTTCTAAGATCGATCTGGTACGAGCATATCATCAGATCCCGGTCGCTCTTGAAGACATCGAAAAGACTGCTATCACGACTCCTTTCGGTTTGTTTGAGTTCCTACGAATGCCATTTGGATTACGGAATGCTGCTCAAACTTTTCAAAGGTTTATCGATAGCATTGTACGAGACCTCGATTTTGTTCACGTCTATATTGATGACCTGCTAATCGCATCATCAAACGTAGATGAACATTATCAACATCTTACGCTATTATTCCAACGCCTTTCGGATAATGGAATAGTAGTTAACCCAGACAAATGCGAGTTAGGTAAACGAGAAATCATATTTCTGGGTCATGTTATCAAGCAAGAGGGTATTCTACCTTGTGAGGACAAAGTGCAAGCAATAAAGGAGTACAACGTGCCGTCCTCACTCAAGGAACTGAAGGCTTTTCTCGGTTTGGTTAACTTCTACCGTCGTTTCATCCCACACGCGGCAGAACGGTTACGACCACTAACCGACTTACTACGCGGCAACCCACGCAGATTGGAAATGAACGATTCTGCACGTACTGCATTCACTGAAATCAAAACGGCTCTTGCGCAAGCCACTCTTCTCGCCCATCCCGATCCATCAGCCACGCTTAGTATAGCGGTTGATGCATCCGATGTTGCTATAGGAGCAGTCATGCAACAAAACATCTCCGGTAGTTGGCAACCTCTCGAGTTTTTCTCACGACGCCTCACTACCACGGAGACGAGATATAGCGCTTTTGGTCGCGAGCTGCTAGCAGCCTACTGCGCCATCAAACATTTTCGGCACGCAGTAGAAGGACGTCGATTCATTTTATTCACCGACCATAAGCCCTTAACGTATGCTTTGCATACCAAGTCTGACCGCTACTCACCACGAGAGTGCAGACATTTGGACTATATCTCCCAGTTCACGACAGACCTTCGTCACATCCAAGGCAAGTCGAACTGTGTTGCCGATGCTCTATCACGAATCCAAATGAATGCAGTTACCCTGCCGGTGCTCGATCTTCCTGCTATGGCCGCTGCCCAAGCAAACGATCCCAGCTGTACAAAGCACCACACTCTACGTCTCTTCAGTATCAGGAAGTACCTCTAGCCACGACTTCTGGCACCATTCTATGTGATACGTCTACCGGTCTTCCTCGACCCATCGTACCCTCTGCTTATCGCCGTCTCGTTTTCGATGCCCTGCATGGATTATCTCACCCAGGTATCGCAGCTACATTACGCCTCATCGCTGCACGATACGTCTGGCCGTCCATGAATAAAGATGTTCGTATGTGGGCTAAGCAATGCTTACAATGTCAACGATCAAAAGTGCACAGGCACGTAGCCGCCCCCCTCGGTACATTCGCTACGCCTGATGCTCGCTTCGATCACGTTCACTTAGACATTGTAGGACCACTGCCACCATCGCACGGGTATGATCACATACTCACGTGCATCGACCGCTTCACCAGATGGCCCGAAGCTATACCCATCACGTCTATCACGGCGGAGACAGTTGCTCACCGCTTCGTAGAACGATGGATAGCTCTATATGGTTGTCCCTCGACTGTCACGACTGACCGAGGACAACAATTTGAGTCCGCACTATTCTCCTCACTTACTCGGCTGCTTGGTACGGAACGAATACGCACTACCGCCTACCATCCAGCTTCAAACGGTTTAGTTGAAAGGTTTCATCGGCAACTTAAAAGTGCTCTTCGAGCACACGAAAACGACGACTGGTACGAAACCTTACCGCTCGTTCTTTTAGGTATCAGAACGAGCTTAAAGGCAGATATCCAATGTTCCGCCGCTGAACTTGTATACGGCACGACATTGCGTCTGCCCGGGGAATTCTTCACACCACGGAGCAGACCTAATTTCGCTAAATCAGACTACGTCCAACGACTGTCTGCATTTATGCGAACGCTGTCTCCGGTGTCAACTCGAATACAACATCGACAGGTCGCTCTCCCTCGAGAGTTATCTACCTGTTCACATGTTTTCATACGAGTAGATTCGGTACGCAAACCTTTGCAACAACCTTACGAAGGCCCTTTTCGCGTGATCGCTCGTCACGAAAAGACCTTCAAGGTTGATCGACACGGCCGCGTCGAGATCGTCAGCATTGATCGTCTCAAACCAGCACACGTCGATGACAGTGCCCTATCTGATAACCTGAGATTCAATGCTAGACCTAGCAAACCTACTAGCGGGATCCTCAAACCATCTTCAGGTCCCACGCTAGATGCACCTGAGACCTCACTCTCACGTCCCAGTCAACAGCACGCGTCATCTGCACCGTCTACGGACGAGACGACAGTCTCACGTCCAGATCAGCAGACCACGCCGCCCTTGACTTCGGATGAGATTGCAGGCTCACGCGACGCGAACGAGACTGCCGTCTCACGTTCCGGTCGCCGAGTACGGTTACCCGTACGCTTCCGCGACTAGTCGCACAGTCAACAACCGATACGGTGTAGGATTATTCCTATACTACACGCATGCTACACTCTTCTCTTTTTTGATTTTCTTTTTGTTTCCTGAGCCCACGCCTTCGACCATCTCCGTTTGGTTCCGTCGACTTCAGTCAACTTTGGCGAAAGCTGGCCTGATCACCCACGCTCTTGTCAACGTACTCAGTCGATATATTGCTTTCGAATGCTTGGCATACGCTTGGTCTCGAACTTGGTCGTTATGGTCGCTTCTGGTTCATCGGCTCAACGTGGTTTCGTCCTACGTCTGCAGCGTTTCTGGTGCGCACCCCTACGAACGCCATCTTCAGATTCTGGATACAAACCACTCTGGTGTAGCATGCCAACTCAAACAATAAATACAACACATCGCTCCTGGTACCGTTCTCCGAAAACGACCTACGTTGGCAACTCGACGATCAACGATCGCTTTCCTGTTCGCCAATTCTTCCGTCCTACAATCGCTCGTCAGCCGATCAGTCCCACGATTCAAACCGCTATTTATCGAAAGTGTAAACCCTTTCTAGCGGGGGGCTCCTGTAGTGACTCACATTTATCACGAGAACACGACTGGTTTAATAAAAACAATTATTATTATAACCAACTGTACCAGTGTTTGTTTTAATGTGCTTTTGTTTAACTGTGCTAATTATAGCCATTTTGTGCTTCCATTACCTTCCATCATTGTTCCGCGGTTTTTGGTACTGTTCGCACGTACTCCTGTCTTCTGCTTCCACTTGTACCACTTCTTGGCACGATCTCGGTATTCGTTCAATACCACGAGATCGCCAACGAAATAAATCTGGTTACATTCAACCTCGCCTTCTGATTTATCTGGCACGTGTTTTCTGGTAGCGGTGTTCACAGTTAATCTCAACTCGACGCCACGCTACACACTTAAAGGCTCTAGACCATTCAATGCATTTTCAAAAGAACAGTATGCATCGATGCAGCGAACAAATAATGGGAGTGATTTTATCGTGCGGATAGATTGTGGTAGGTTATTCCAGAGTCTAGAAAATTTACAGGTGAAGTAATTCATATAAAGAGATGATTTAGAATGAGTTTGTTTCACTAGTGCCAAGGAATTACGGATGTCATAATGAGAGGTTTCTGCATATTGAATCGCGTGATCGGATGTAAACGATAGTTTATGAAGTAGTTTGAAGAAAAAGATAAGATTTAGTTTGAGTCTCCTCCTCCATAAAGGGTCTAGCCCAAGTTTAATACATCTGGAATTACAAGTTAAGGTACAATCAGCTCCAAGAATACGAAGTGTAAATCGTCTCTGTACTGATTCCAGCCTTAATTTATCCTTTATGAGCGCACTGCTAAGAATAAACGTGCAATATTCTAGAAGAGGTCGAGCACAAACTTTGTACATCAGAATACGTGACTCAGTGTTGTAAGGATTTCGAGTTATGTAACCTATTAGACGTTGAGACTTAGAGGTCTGTTTTAATATATGTTCTGTAAACGACAAGTCTTGGGAATATCTAAGTCCTAAGTCTACTACTGTATGTAACCTAGGTAACACTTCACCATTTATGGTAATGTCTAGGTTGAGTGATGTATCGCCGAAGCATATCCATCCACATTTAACCGTATTAAGCTCCAGTTGCCATTCTAAGCACCACTGTGTTACCTTGTTAAGCTCCATGCTGATGCAATTTTGCATATTTTTCAGCTCATGTGGAGAAAATGAATATACTACTTTAAGATCATCTGGA